TTTCAGAGGCTGCAAATCGTACAGAAGGAGAGCATCCATCTTTCTCCCTTTAAGCAGCTGGTAGATTCAAATTGCATGCCTCTGAAGCTCTAATACATCCACACATATTGTTGTTGTTGTTGTTGTTGTTGTTATATGCCATCCAGTCAACTATGACTTGACCCTATGCACAGTAGCTCTGAACCCTGTGCTATCCTGAACCAATATTACTGTCCCTGATACACCTATCCTCATTACCCCAGTTATTATATCGATCCATCTCATTGGGGTCTTCCTCTCCTGTGCTGTCTGTCCCTCCATCCTTCCAAACTTGATATCCTTCTCCAAAGATTTGTCACTCCTGGCTACATTCCCAAAAGATGTGAAATGGAGTCTCAAAATCCTTGCCTCTGCTTCCTATGAAGATGCTGCAAAAAGCCAGGAAGGAAGCCCCTGCCCCTCTCAAAACTAAAGCCAAAGCAAAGGCATTAAAGGCCAAGAAGGCAGTCCTGAAGGGCATCCACAGTAGCAGAAAAAAGAAGATCCGCATGTCACCCACCTTCTGGCAGCCTAAGATGCTGAGACTCCGAAGGCTGCCCAGATAACCCCAGAAGAGACCCCCAGGAGAAAAAAGCTTGACCACTATGCTGTCATCAAGTTTCCCTTAACCACTGAGTCAGCCATGAAGAAAATAGAGAATAAAAATACATTTATGTTCATTGCAGATGTCAAAGCCCAAAAGCACCAAATTAAACAAGCTGTAAAGAAGCTCTATGACATTGATGTGGCCAAGGTCAACATCTTTTTAAAAAAAAAATTTTATTAGTTTTAATGCAAGGTCAACATCTTGATTAGGCCTGATGGAGAGAAGAAGGCCTATGTTCAACTTGCTCCTGACTGATGCTTTGGGTGTTGTCAACAAAATTGGGATCATCTAAACTGAGTCCAGCTGGCTAATTCTAAATACAAATTTTTCTTACCAAAAAAAAAAATCCTTGCCTCCAAGGAGCCACTTGATTTCACCCTCTCCAGAGGGTGAACTGTTAATTCTTTTGGAGGTCAGTGGTATATTCAACACTCTTGTCCAGCACCACAGCTCAAAGGCATCAATTCTTCTTCTGTCATCCTTGGTCATTGTCCAGTTTACTTGCGTAGCAAGTAAATGCAAAGACCAAGGCCTGATCAGGTGCACCTTAGTCTCTAGATTGACATCCTTGTTCTTCAGCACTCTGGAGCAGATTTTCCTTACAGCAGATTTTCCTAATGCAGTTTGTCTTTTGATTTCTTGACTACTGTAGCCAAGAGTGTTGATTGTGGAATTGAGCAAGCTAAAATTATTAATAATCTCATTCTCTTCTTCATCTATCATGCTGCTGCCAGTTGGCCCAGGGGTGAGAATCTTCATTTTTCTTAATATTGAGCATCAATCCATATTGCAAACTACAGTCCTTGACCCTCTGCAGCAAATCCTTCAGGCCCTCTTCAGTTTCAGCAAATAAAATTGTGTCATCTGCATTACACAGACTGTTGATGAACCTTCCTCTAATCGTATTCCTTCTTATGAAGTCCAACCTCTTGAATGATCTGTTCTGCATCAGATTGAAAGGATATGGAGACAGGACACATCCCTGACACACTCCTTTCCTGATTTTGGACCATGCACTGTTTTCTTGCACTATTCTGACAATTGCCTCCTTGCCCAATTATTAGTTATATATACAAAGCTATGGTGGCTGCTAACCCAAAGGTGATATCTCTCTGATGGTTTTAATCAGAGATTATTTTTATATTTTTATGTATATAAAAGCTTTATCAGTGCCATCAAGTTTTATATACATATGATTAATTCAAGCTGCGTGCCTTTGTGTTGGCAGCACAACTTCTTACCACTAAGCCACCAAACCTCTATGTAAATAGAAAAAGATTTAAAACCAAACTTATTGCCACAGATCCAATTCCAGCTTACAACAAGGGCAAAGTAAACTGTCCCATAGGGTCTCCAAAGCAGCAGTTTTTAAAGAAGGCGCCTGTGGAGTGGCTAGTGGGTTCAAACCATGGGCCTTTTGGTTAGTAGCTGAGTGCCTAACTACCATGTCACCAGGGCTCAAGTAAATCCTAATTATATTGACTCTAATAACTGCTAATTTGGAAAAGCTACTATTAGGGAGTTTAGAAACCATTCATATTTGAATTAAACATCTCTGTCACTATATTTATACAAATAATTGTAAAACTGATAGTACATGCTAATTTGAAAATAGTCTAAATGGGATAAACAATGTATACTGCATTGAAACAGATGAGGGATAGGACTGTTTAAAAGGAATATAGGACTAGGTATTATTTTCATGACATGATTACAGAAAAAGAAATGCTTAATAAAGTGGACTGTGGACTCGAATATTTTTTTAAAAGAGAAAAACTGAGCGGGAGGAGCAGGCAAGGAGGAAAATGTGCAACAGTGAATGAATAGGGAAAAATTGAATGGAAAGAATATGTTGTGAAAAATATATATGTTGCATTAAAAAATTCTTTATTATTTTTTTTTTAAAAAAAGATAAATTGCAAAAGATTTCTCTTTAAAAAAACACTGCATGGTGTAAAATCAGAAAGCTTGTGCACTGTGGATGTAGCCTTTCTCCATATATTCAACCTGTATGCTGAGCAAATAATTTGAAGCTGGACTTTATGAAGAACACAGCATCAGGATTGGAGGAAGACTCATCAACAAACACAACATTTTGTATTTTGCCTGTCTTTTTGAATTCTGTATTTTCAATTATTTATTCATTGCAAATGTATTTTTTTAAGAGAAAAAAAAAACACAAACAACTTTACAATGGAACTCACCGGATGAGCTGCACAAGAATCAGATTGACAACTTCAGTGGAAGGAATCATTGGACAAGCTCAATATCAGCAGTCAAATCTAGGCCAGCAGCGGACTCTAAGTTAGATCATCAATTACTCATGTCCAAGTTCAAATTGACCAGTACACTAAGCATGTCCTCTGTCATGGACCTGTCCAAAACCCTGAAGAGCAATAATGTCAATCAGAAGACTAATGGTGCCTGACTTGAGCTATGATCTTTTCAGTCACTTGTTATGCATCTGAGAGCTGGGCAATGAATAAGGGTGATAGAAAAAGAATTGATGCCTTTGAGTTTTGATGTTGGAGACAATTACTGAATGTCCCATGGACTGCCAAAAGAACAAGCAAATATGTCTTGGGAAAAGTGCAGCCAGAATGCCCCTTGGAGGCAAAGATGGTGAAGCTTCATCTGTCATACTCTGGGCATTTTGCTAGGAGAGGCTTTTCCTTGGAAAGGAACAGCATGCTTGGAAAAGCAGAGGGTCAGACAAAAAAGAAGAATGGATAGACACTGTGACTACAGCAATGAACTCTAGTGTGTCAGAGATGATGAAGATGGAACAGAATAGGACAGGGTTCAGGTCTGTTCATAGGGTCACTATGAGTCATGCTCAACTTGATGGCATCTAACAATGACAACAACTACTGGTAGTAGTAAAACTAGTATATTTCTCCCTCTAGTTAACAATTTCCAAAGTTAAGGATTGGTTATGGAGACTCCATGTTCCATCAGGGCCAAGGTTACGTCAACCTTGTTGCTCTGCCATCCTCAGTATTCAGTCTCACATCAGAGCCTATGGTGTCTGCCCATACTCACAACCCAACCAATGTTGTTGTTGTTGTTAGATGCCATCAAGTTGACTGTTCTCTAATATACTCAAGCCTATTGTTATAGTCCTTGTGTCAATCTGTTTTGTTGAGTGTTTTCTTCGCTTTCGTTGACCATCCAATTTTCTAAGTATGATTTTTCCAAGAACTAGCCCCTCCTAACAATAAGCGGAAAATATGTGAGATGAAGTTTCACTACCCTTGCCTCTCAAGAGCACCCTGGTTATACTTCCTCCAAGACCTGTTTGTTATTTTGGCAGTCCATGGGATTTTCAATACTCTTCCTTAACACCACAAGTCAAGGCATTGGTTCTTCTTCTCTCATTCTTATTCATTGTCCAACTTTCAGATGGATAGCATCCACCTGGGTCTTCCTCTTCTTTGCTGACCCTCCACCCTTCCCACCTGGTATGCCCTGAAGAGGGTGAAATCAGATTCTTCTTAGAGACAAGGATTTTGAAATCCCATCTAACATACTTTGGGTGTGTTGCCAGGAGGGACTAGTCTTTAGAGAAGGGACACTGGCTTGGAACGGTAAAGGATCAGCACAGGACAGAAAGAACCTGGATGATGTGGACTGACACAGTGTCTTGGCAATAGGAGCAGGTGTGGTGGATACAGTGAGATTGGCTTAGGATAGGGCTAGGCTCAGAGGTTCATAGGGTGGCTATGAGTCATAGTCGACTCAAAGGCACATAAAAACAACAGCAGCCTAGAGAGCAAGGAGTTGTGCTGCTAAACCCAAAGACCCCGCTGGTTTGAATCCAAGAGATAAAGATTGGCATTCTCATCCAGTGAGATTTACAGCCTAGAATGTCAGCTATGAGTCAGCTTTAAAGTGCCATCAAGTCAAATAGTGATCCTATGAACAATAGCTCTGAACCCTGTCCTGTCTTGAGCCAATCTCCCTGTTTCTGACACACCTGACCCCATTGCCACAGTCACTGTATCAATCCGTCTCATCCAGAGTCGTCTTCTCCTGCACTGACCTTTTACTTTTTCAAGGACGGTCGCTTCTGGCAATATGCCCTCTTACTTAATGACAATTCAAATTCATTAACTGTCCTTCTCATTGTCTATATTCCCACCAATTGCTGGATTCTACTCTTTTTTTTTCACTAGTGTTTTTTTGTTTGTCAAAATGGGGTTTTCAACATTCTCTTTCCCGATTGAAAAGTAGCATCTGTCTTTTCATTGACTTCCACCCATGAAGTTTTTCTAATAAAGGCTATTTCCTCTTGCCCCCTCTCTGTTTCTGAATAAACTTCAGTCATTTTAGCCTCCAGGTTTTCACCTTGTGAATGTGTTCCTTCCCTCCGCAGGTGATGGCTGGGCCGCCCGCCCCTCTGCAGCTGCTGGGAGTCCTGCTCTTCACCGCCCTGGGCTGTGTCAGGCTCATTCAAGCCGGTGCCTACTATGGAATCAAGCCAATGCCACCTCAAATTCCTCCTCAGATGCCACCACAAATTCCCCAGTACCAGCCCCTGGGTCAGCAAGTACCTCACATGCCTTTGGGCAAAGATGGCCTTTCTGTGGGCAAGGAGATGCCCCACATGCAGTATGGCAAAGAGTATTCACACCTACCCCAGTACAGGAAGGAGATTCCACCAGTGCCAAGAATGGGCAAAGAAGTGGCACCCAAGAAAGGCAAAGGTAACATTAGTGAATAGTCATATTCTAGTGTTGTTTAAGAATCTTAAAATAAAGGGTGTGGGGAGGCTGAATTTGAGAAACTCTAGCATTATAAGAGGTGAACCTGCCCAAGATGCTGCTACTGTTGGATGCCATGCCATGGAGTTGATTCCGACTCCTCAGACCCTGATGGAAAAAAGAGCAAAACACTGCCCAGTCCTTTGCCAGCCTCATAAATGGATGCTGTGTTTAAGCCCACGGGTGCAACCACTGTGTCAGGCCATCTCATTAAGGGACCGCCTCTGTTTTGCTGACACCCTACTTTACCCAGCGTGATGTCCTCCTCCAGGGTCTGGTCCCTTCTGATAGCATGTCCAATGTATGGAAGAGGAAGTTTCACCTTTGCTTCGAAGGAGCTTTCTAACGGCATGTTAGAAACGGCATGTCTTTTTAAAGACAGAATATTCTTCTGGCAGCCCATGGTATACTCAACATTCTCTATCAACACTATAAAGAAAATGTTTAAGGTTTTCTTTGATCTTCATTTCCCAGTTTTTAAATGCATATGAGACAACAGACAACTGAAAATACTATAACTTGGGCCAATCAAGTTGTGGCTGTCCCAGAGGCTGCCTTTTCCCCTCCCTAATTTGCTGATTAGAAATGACATGGCATAATAGTACTATAATAGTATCTACTGGCATCAAAGAAAGAGACTTCTGCTCTTCCTTAGCATTTTTAATCCATCCAAATGCTTTGTAAGAGAAATGACATGGACATCTTCTCATGTAAAGACTGCAGCCTTGGATGCCGTATAGGGCAGCTCTACACTGGTGAGTAGGGTCCTTGTGGGTCAGCACCTACTTGACAGCACACAACAGCATAAATGAAGCAGTCTCAAGTGTCTTCTCTTTAAGAGCTGATATTCCACTTAGGGAATTATCTAGGTCATTTCTTTTCCTTCCTTTTGTGAATGACTAGGCTGGCTTCTGAGATTTCCTGTACTTATTCAGATGGGTATCAGAGAGCAAATCAGGGAATTTGGAAAGAATGTGAGTTCTGTGGTTCTTTTTGTTCCCTGCCATTATAGCTTAGTGAAAAAAATAAAGCGGTAAAAAAATAATACTTGGGGACAATTAATCTCACTTATTGCTCCCTGTATCATGGGACATGGAGAGCTGTTTTTATCTGCAAAACAGATCATAACTGCTAACAAAATGTGCTTTATGTTTCAGTCACTATTGAAGACAGCACAACTCCTGTCACATCTATTATCTAATCATGTAGCGTGAGTGTATTACTGTACCGACAGGAAAGCAGAGATGCTGGCGCCTTAAGGAACAGCATAAAGGACTGGAGTCAAGCCCAGTAAGAGAGGCAGAGCTCCCTGATCCTGAGCCCGGCTCACTTCTTTATCCATGCTGCTTGCCATCCTGAAATATCTTACATTTCATTCGACTTCTCTGTTGGAAAACCAGAATTGCAAATGATAGAACACTTAAAAAATTAACAAGTTAATACTTGAGACTTGTGAAATCATTCAACACATTAAAGAATGTAAGCAAATCTATTTGTCTCTCGAAGACAGATATGGAAAGCTGTGCTTAAACCAAATACAAAATAGCATGCACATTTCTATTATTTCCTGATTCCACATGATGATCTTTTATCATCTATATTATATTTCAAAACATGAGAAAATATTGTTTAACCAAAAATTATTATCATTTACTCACTCATTGCTGTCAAGTCAGGACTGACTCATAGCTGACCCTCCAGCAGCTGTAAATCACATGGGAGAGACCATCCGACTTTCTCCTGAGTAGAAGCTAGTAGATTTGAACTGCCTGCCTTTGGGTTGGTAGCACAATTCTTTACCCACTAAGCTTCCAGAACTCCCCATTAGACAGGTAAATACATTAGAAAAAAACACAGTATGACTCTAACATTGTTTAAAGTCACATGTACACATACACACAGAATAAAATAAACAAGACAGAAATACATGTAAATGAGAAGTTACCCTCTATGAGTGCTGGAATTACAGGAAACTTTGACCTATTTTTATACTTCCTTGACTTTTCCAAAACCTTACAGTATATATATTATCTCCAAGTTTTATACTTGGAAAAATGTTAATTCATTACCTTTTTGCTTTTTACTTAATCAACACTAATTAAAAAACAGATGCATACATCTAAACAGTATCTCAAATACATCAAAGAAATGATCCATTTTCTTTTCCTTTAAATACTTATAACATACAGTACTGGGAGATAAGCACATTATTCTCAATATTCCTTCCTAATAAATAGGCAGATGTGCCAGAAATAATCATGAATGTCTTTACTTCACTGATGTGAGGACTAACTGGCTCTCTTCTTTTTCTCTTTCCCAGCAGAAATACCATTAGCCAGTTTACGAGGTGAGCAAGGTCCCCGTGGAGAGCCTGGCCCAAGAGGACCCCCTGGTCCTCCTGGTTTACCAGGCCATGGGATCCCTGGAATCAAAGGAAAACCAGGTCCACAGGGATATCCAGGAATTGGGAAGCCAGGTATGCCAGGAATGCCAGGAAAACCAGGAGCCATGGGAATGCCTGGGGCAAAAGGCGAGATTGGACCCAAAGGGGAGATCGGGCCCATGGGGATCCCAGGGCCACAAGGACCTCCAGGACCCCATGGACTTCCTGGCATTGGGAAGCCAGGAGGGCCAGGATTACCAGGGCAACCAGGAGCAAAGGGCGAGAGAGGACCTAAAGGACCACCAGGACCTCCAGGCCTTCAGGGTCCAAAAGGAGAGAAAGGTTTTGGAATGCCAGGCCTACCAGGGCTGAAAGGACCTCCAGGGATGCATGGGCCCCCTGGCCCCGTCGGACTTCCAGGAGTGGGGAAACCAGGAGTGACAGGCTTCCCTGGACCCCAGGGCCCTCTGGGAAAACCAGGGCCTCCAGGAGAACCTGGGCCACAGGGCCCTATTGGAGTACCAGGGATTCAAGGACCTCCTGGGATGCCAGGGGTTGGCAAACCAGGCCAGGATGGAATCCCTGGACAGCCAGGATTTCCAGGTGGCAAAGGGGAACAAGGGTTGCCAGGGCTACCAGGCCCTCCAGGCCCTCCAGGAATTGGGAAACCAGGATTTCCAGGGGTCAAAGGTGATCGTGGTATAGGGGGTGTTCCTGGGCCTCTAGGTCCGAGAGGGGAGAAAGGACCAGTAGGTGCCCCTGGGATAGGAGGTCCCCCTGGAGAACCAGGTCTGCCTGGACTCCCAGGCCCCATGGGTCCTCCAGGTGCTATTGGTTTCCCCGGTCCCAAAGGAGAGGGTGGGGTTGTGGGGCCACAGGGACCATCAGGTCCGAAGGGTGAGCCAGGACTTCAAGGCTTCCCAGGAAAGCCAGGTTTCCTTGGTGAGGTGGGACCTCCAGGCATGAGGGGTTTACCAGGTCCCATAGGGCCCAAGGGGGAGGCAGGACACAAAGGTTTGCCAGGGATCCCTGGGGCACCAGGGCTGCTTGGACCTAAGGGAGAGCCAGGAATCCCAGGAGACCAAGGTTTGCAAGGCCCTCCAGGCATCCCAGGAATTGCAGGTCCTAGTGGTCCAATTGGACCACCTGGAATCCCAGGTCCTAAAGGCGAACCAGGCCTCCCAGGGCCCCCGGGGTTCCCCGGAGTAGGGAAGCCGGGAGTGGCAGGCCTCCATGGCCCCCCAGGGAAACCTGGTGCCCTTGGTCCTCAAGGCCAGCCTGGTCTGCCAGGGCCCCCAGGCCCACCAGGGCCCCCAGGGCCTCCAGCTGCAATGCCCCCTACACAGCAACCCCAAGGAGAGTATCTGCCAGATGTGGGGCTGGGAATTGATGGCGTGAAAACTCCCCATGCCTACGGGGCTAAAAAAGGCAAGAACGGAGGGCCAGCCTACGAGATGCCTGCATTCACTGCTGAGCTGACCGCACCTTTCCCCCCAGTGGGGGCCCCGGTGAAGTTTGACAAACTTCTCTATAATGGCAGACAGAATTACAACCCACAGACGGGCATCTTCACCTGTGAGGTCCCTGGTGTCTACTACTTTGCCTACCATGTTCACTGCAAAGGAGGCAACGTGTGGGTTGCGCTGTTCAAGAATAACGAGCCTATGATGTACACATACGACGAGTACAAAAAGGGCTTCCTGGACCAGGCGTCCGGGAGCGCGGTGCTGCTGCTCAGGCCCGGAGACCGGGTGTTCCTCCAGATGCCCTCAGAACAGGCGGCGGGACTGTACGCTGGGCAGTACGTCCACTCCTCGTTCTCAGGATATTTATTATATCCCATGTGAAAAAAAAAAAGAGAGAGAGAGAGAGAGAGAGAGAGCGAGCTTAAACGTGACAATGACACACCAAAAAAATCTAAATGAAAAACACACAGTTGCTTCAAAATGTTTATACAGTTGGAAAGTTATATTTAAGTGAAAATTTGGACCATCATGTATGAATAAAAATGAAAATGCTTGTCTAATGCTGGCACAACAGCCTGTAATTGAAAAATGATGGGATACGATTTGTGTATCAAATTCTGACATTTGTGTTATACCCACTGGAATTATATTAGTTGATGTATGTTATATGTTGCAATAATAATTTGTTTATTCAGATCAATCAAAATGTCTAAGCATGAAAGATCGAAGCCAATGAGTCAGTCACTCATATTGTTTACTTTGAAATATATATAAGTACAATTTAAACTTACACAAATTAGAATAGTTAAATACCGTATTTACTTGCATAATTTCCACTGTATTTCTGCAGATACTTTGGCATGAGGGGTGAGAGAGGGCTGCGTTACCCCAACAGGAGCAAGGGCTGAGAGCCATGGCCCAACTTTAACCGAGTGGCTGTTTCTCTGTCAGTATCAAGTCAGATTCAACTCATAGCTGATCCTCTAAGCGTTTTCATAGGCTAAATATCTGCGGAGACTTCCCATCTTTCTACATCAGGGTTACTGGTGAATTCAAACTGCCTTTGAGCTCCCTAGGCTGTGTCAGTTAGCAACAGGAGCCCTGCTCAAAAAATCTCTCTCTAGGGACCTTGAGTATTACAAGTGGTTAAGCACTAACTGAAATGCTGGCAGCTCAAACAGAAGTGCTCAGATGGCAGGGGTAACAATCTGCTTTTGAAAAGCTAGACCTTTGAAAACCCTATGGAGCTGTTCAACTCATGCAGTGACACCCATGTCATCATCATGAATTAAAATCATCGCAATAGCAACTGTGTCTCTGAATAAAAATGCAATCAACCAGTGTCTATGTTCTCAGTGCCTTCTCTGTGCCTAGTACTAGGTGAGACACTTCTGTGGGGCACTAGTGCCCCAGAAAGAACTAATAAGTCAGATGAGGGGCATGAGTGGTAATTAACTCATCTATTCCTCAAAAATCATATTATATGAGGATTTGGGGTTTGTTTTTATTGAAGGAGAGAGATTTTGTGTTTTCTTCTCTCCATGTAGTTCTTTGACCCAACTACTCTGAACAGTTGGAAATTATTATTGTTGTTATATGCCATTGAGTCACTTGTCACTCGTTGTTGCTATTATTGTTGATTGTCTTCCAGTAGAGCACGATTCATAGTGACCCTATGAACGAAAGGCCTGAAGCTTTTCTATAACTATAGACATTTATCAAAGTTCATAGTTTCTGGAGGCATGTTGTTTAGGAAGTGGATGCCACTTCTGCTTTCAACATGACTCGTTAGAGAGGATAAAATAGCCTTCAAGAGTCAGAGAAAGAGCCTCCTCAACAAGATGGATTAATACAGTGGCCAAAACAGTAGGTGAGAATGTTGCAGGACCGGAAAAGCTTCAGAGCTGTTGGTCACAGGGTAACTATGAGTCAGAGTCAACTCGAAAGCACAATAACAACCCCTTCAGAAGGATCTGTATTTCACCTGCCTCTTTCAGTTTAAGTTTTGAATTTCTTTTTCCTAAACTACTTAAATTATTTGTTCATAGGGTCACTGGAAAATTGTGGTGGGCTTGACAACCCCTAATAACAACAGTCCTCAGTAACCTGCTAGTTTCATGAAATGTTTATTCTCAGTAACCCAAAACTGAAAGCCATTGCTGTCATGTTAAGTCTGAGTCACAGCAATTCTGTTTTACAGAGTATAACTGCTCCATAGTGTTTCTAAGGCTGAGGTTTTTAGGGAAGCAGACTGGGCACATCTTTACCTTGCTGAATGGCCAGTGAGTTGAACCTCCACCTTTCAGTAAGCAACCTAGCATTTTAACCAGTGCACCACCAGGGCTCCTTTCACTAACAGTGACAGATAACAAGTGTTCTTACATGCAGATAAAAATGCCACCCCTTTTTGATTATATATAGCCTTACATGATTACAATGATGATTTCAACCCTAACAGATATATGAATATTTTTGGTAGTTTTTCAATTTTAAAGGAATTTCTCTATAATGTATAGTTGATTCATCAGGGGTTTCAAAGTAAATTTTCAAAATCCAAGCCATTCTTTATTTGAGAGAGAATTGCATAAAAGAATCAATTTTTATTTAAAAAAAAATAATTTCTAAAGTTTGAATTTGCAAATGGATGTGTTGCTTGGATCCTAAAATTTTCATAAACGACTGTTTTCATTAGAAGCAATCTGTGAAGGAATATCAATGGGCAATCATCATCCATGCTTTCTAAATTGCTTCATGTTTAACCCATCAAAAGCCAGCTGGGCTCTTTAAGTGTTGTAAAAAGAGAAGTAAATATTGTTCCAAAACACAGAGAAACCATTTCAAGCCTGCTATTTGCTTGCTGCTGACACTATTAGCCACTTGGAAACATTATGTGGGAGTATGGTGATAGAATCGTACATACTTTCTTCAAAAGTAGATGGATACAGATGAGAAAATACACAAATAGATACAGTATTATTGCACTTGGGAATGTGTCTATGTCAAATATGAATCACTTTTACTGTCCAGAACATTATCCTCTTGCCCTAATATCTATCTTTTTCAATAGAATAAAAGTACCATTGCTTCTCAATTTTTCAAAAAAAAAAAAAAGATAATTGAGATTACTACCACAGGATTTCTTAATCATTGTTAATTATGTAACAAATTTTCCCCCATCAGGAAGATGTTTCAAGTTTCATTTTCAAAGCTGACAATATTTATGTGGCCATATATTCTTTGGGTTGATCTTGAAATTATTAATGAGAATCCTTGCTTAGAGCTGATAATGGTGGGGGCAGCATGGATTCATGATGTTCCTCGTGCTAAATAGCTGTATTGAAACATCTTGGAAGCCAATCAGATTAAATGATTTGTGAGATTGTGTTTATCTGTACATGTTTGGACTTTTCATTTCCACCAAGCAAGGGAAAAATTGTTTCTTTAGTCCAAACCAAATTTCACTTTTTCAAAATATCTTCCAACTTATTTATTGGTTGTTACTCAATTGCTATATATATGTGTGTGTATATTATCAGGCATATGCTTCTAGCTTGTATATGGGAGAGGAGCAAAGTCTATGCCAAATACTGTGTATTCTACAATGGTGCTAATCTCAGAGTTAAATGAATTTACCCAACTTAATTTAAAAAGAAGAGTTTTAAGTAATTATCTATATGTTTGTGTTTCCTTTTTGAGTGTTGCATATCATGTTAACACATTAGTGTAAAAGCAAGTGAAACAATCATATGTTCTAAAGTTGGGGGATAGTGCTATAATCCCTATTTAATTCAAATGAACTAGAACTTTGCCATGTGAAATGGACTAAGCTGCCATTATTATTTAAATACAGAGTATTAATGTAATGTAATATGACATCCCACGGGGGAGAAGAATGTCTGTAGTGGGTTCCCAAATATTTTAAAGAATACTATGAACAGTGAACAGACCGGTAACTTTTCTTTAGTTTCCATGACAGATTTGAGACTTGTCAATAGCAAATCAATTTTGTATTTAAATTTTTGTACTGATTTGGGAAAAGAAAAGTCTTATTAAATATCTTTAAAAGTATGTTTCTCATCTTTTTTATATCACTCAGCTGACATTATTTAAGCCCCTTAAATTGCGTGTCTTCTATTATAGCAATTAGCTGCAAAAATAGGGACAAAAAAAATAAATCAAAGCTTAAAGGGTAATTTCTTTCTCTCTGACATAAAGGTTCAGAGTCCAGAACTCATATGCAGACTCCAGTCAGGATCCCAGGTTCCTCCTTATTCTATTGTATTTTATTAATTTTAATGAACATTTACAAAGATTTTGGATTTCCATCCATTCATTGTTGCATTTTTCTCCCTGACCACCCCTCCCCCCCAGTTCGTTCTTCTCTTTGAAAAGTAAAAGAAAGAAATCTTTCATTGGTATACAATCCCCCACCCCAAGTACACTCCACTATGCAATCTTCATTCTGGACTCTTGTCATAACCATAATAATCAATCATATATCACTTTTAAACTGTTCTCTCCCTCATCTGTTTCAACGCAGTATACATAATTTATCCAATTTTTCTCAGTCTTACCCCAACTCTGATTCAGTCCTGTTCTACAATGGTGGCACTTATTTGTCTTTTTGTGACTGACATATTTCACTCAGCATAATGTCCTTCAGGGTCATCCATTTTTAATCATATTGCATGAGTTCAGATGGCCAACAAACACATGAAGAAATGTTCAAAATCCCTAGCACTAAGAGAGATGCAAAACAATATGAGATATCATCTCACCCCAGTAAGAATAGCAAAATTTAACAGAACAGCAAACAACAAATGCTGGCGAGGTTGTGGAGAAATTGGAACCCTTATTCACTGTTGGTGCGAGTGTAAAATGGTGCAACCACTATGGATGGCTGTATGACGCTTTCTCAAAAAGTTGCAAATAGAAATACCATTTGACCCAGCAATTCCTCTACTGGGAATGTACCCTAAAGAAATCAGAACTGCCACCCAAGCAGATATATGCACATCCATGTTTATTGCGGCTTTGTTCACAATAGCAAAGAGTTGGAAACAACCTAAGTGCCCATCAACAAACGAATGGATAGAGAAGGTTTGGTATACACAATGGAATACTATGCTGCATTGAAAAACAAGGAACCCTGGTTCCTTCTATGTTGTTACTCTTTTACCCTTCATCTCGTGGTCCATCATAGCTACTACATTCCAGTCAGTAGGAAGTGAAAAAGGCAAGAAGGGGAGGAGGATATAGTCTTTCCTTATTAACTATTTAACCCAGAAGTTAGCATAGGTCACTTCTTTCATGTTTTCATGTCCTATAGCTCAAAATTTCATTACGTTGCCACAAGCTGCAAGGGAGTGTGGAAAACTAAATATTTATTCAGAGTAGCCACTTACCCAGCCAAAAATCAGGTTTAAAAAAAATAAGAGAGAAAAGGCAGAACAAACATTAAGGGACAATTACTTGCCTCTGGCATATCCATAATAAAAAAAATAACTGATGCAAACATCATTTCTCC